CTCCTTTTTAAAACAAACACTAACTACTCTCTGCTAGCCTCAAATTACCCATTAGCTCTTCCTTAGACAATCACTGATAACACTGCTAACACAATTTACTACTATCCCAAGACCCTTAACAACCTTTGCTAACAAGCTCACCCTTTTCTAGACCCCTCTTCCTTTGATGATAACTAGACAGCTGTATATATAACTGTCACAAAAACGTATAATTTAGCATACCATAAATTATAAACAGAATGCTTTTTCCCTTGTCTTTGAGAATGTTTTATGGAGATATCTCATTAACTTACACTATGCATTATTACAATTAACTACTTGCTACACAGTATAAATAAAGACCTGCTGAAGGAAAAGCAGGAAGACTTGCATCCTATCCTGACTCCCATGTCTTCCTCGCAACCCCTCCTGTCTCCCCTTTTGGAATATCTGCTCGCTGACGCCTTCCCATCTTAGGGTCCTGCCTGTGCTGCCTCGAGACACCCCAAAGGTTGGAGCTGGTCTCCGACATTAGAGACCATGGATTTTGATTTTTGGTGCAGTAGTAGATCAGGATAAAGGTTTCTTTGCATCCTTGGGCATATAGTCACTGCAGAGAAAGCCTCACGTATGGGTAGAGAGAGAGATCCCTGGGTTGCAGCAAGAGCTGGAAAGTGTACAGTACTGCTACAAAGAACAGTTGTCTGATATAGAGAAAGCCAGATTGAGAAAGGGAGCAGGGATTGTGCATGTCTTAGTCCAGCAGACATTAAATTTGACACATGTACTTCCTTAGGTCACATCACTCCAGATGTAGATTTGAAAGGAACGTACTCCCTTGTGAACAGGTAGAAGGGAAAGACACAGGGAACTTACTGGTATAGTTGTTAAAAACATGGGTTATGAAGGCAGAAGACCTACTGTCAATCTCTGCTTTGCTATGGCAAACTGGAGGCCTGAGCAAATTTCTTAGTCATTTCAAGTTTCAGTTACTCTCTTGTAATATGGGTTAACAGCTACCTCAATTTCTAAGAATTAAACTGTCTGTACTTAGCAATTTATCTTGCACAAGGAAATGTTAAAGTAATTAGTAGTTTTATTTACCTCAAGAATATCTTGAGATAAAGGGGAGGGATGAAATAAGCCTCCTAAAACATGCAAAAAATAAGCCCTAAATGCAAATTCCCATGGAAGAGAGAACTGACATAACTGACACAGCAAGAAATTTCCCTGTTCATGTGGGTAAACTCAGAAACTTCAAAAGTGCAGAAGAAAAAAAAAAGAATGAGGAAAAATAAGAGGAAAAAAATGAAAATGCTTTGTATTGCAGCTTTGTGCCTCCCCTCAAAAATCCCCAGAAAAATGAAATAATAATT